CTGTTGTAAAAAATTTTATTTGTTTAAATGTATTTTTTTTTTAATATTTCATGATAAATCTACTCAATATGATATTTAGAGGAAAATATTTAATGTACAATTTAAAGTTATTCAGTTAGGTACTGACTTATATCTTAGGGAGTCATATTAGCGTCTAAATAAAAGTATAACACTTGAATTGGCATTGTTCAAACATATCCTGTGTATGTTAAATCTAGTTTTAACATCACTATTCACAAGTAACCAGTGTTTATTGCCAGTGGTGTCTTTCAAAACAGGTACGCTTAAACTATAGTGGTTTTCAAGAACAATGAGGGCAAAAATATTTTTAGTAATATATAACGAATATATTAACTAGATGTATCATAATGTATTAATTTATAAATAACTTATTCTAATTAATATTCATTATTATTTGTATCATCTACGGACAAGTTACTTGCTAAAAAAAAATTTAATTTTTTTAATAACCCAATTTTATGTACAAATCGCAAAGCTAGATGAATTGTTGCAAAAAAATTTTTTCAAGGAGAACATTTTTACAAATTAGTGTTAATTCTATAATCAAATGATATTTCGAAAATGTTTTAATATCATTATTAAATATTTTATCATATAAATATTCCAATATTATCACTTAAGTACTTACTTGTATCTAGATTAGTCGTATTGCCATCTAAATAAAAATTTAAACATTGAATTAGCGATGTTCAAACCTATTTTATACATGTTAATCGCATTTCCCCTTCTTATCAATATGATCTGAAGTCGTAATGTTATCTGTTGTACAAAATTTGATATGTTTAAATGTATTTTTTTTTTTATATCCCATGATAATTTTACTCAACGTGATATTTAGAGAAAATTATTTAATGTTAATTAGAACAATCGGGATAAAAATATTTTTAGTAATATGCAATAGATATATTAACTACATGTATTATAATTTATTAATTTCTAAATAACTTAATCTAGTAATATTATTACTTGTATTATCCGCAGATAAGTTACTTGCTAATAAAAAGGTCATTAAGTTTACAAGTTTACAAGTTGAAAAAGTTTTTTGTTCTATATGCATTTTGAAATTTTGATCCCTCTTTGTATTAAGTGAAATATTATGATTTTTTTAAAAAAAGTATGTCGAATTAAAGAAGTATATATAGAGAATTTATCATAAAAAAATAGTAATAATCCAAATATTTTTTAAAAAGTTATGGCTACATAGAGTTGAAAAATGTAATATATTTGATCGAGAAATTTTACACAAAAATAGCATATGGTATCCATTTATACCATGAAGACAAGTTAAAGCCCGAAATTTTTTTTTCTACAATAAAGTATACTATATTATCTTTAATTTAAGGTTTATATAAAAGTGTCAGTATATCGACTACACTTTCAAAAGTTAAGTTGAAAAAGTAAATTTACTGTAAAAAAGTTGTCATTTGAAATCCCCCTGTGACCAGGTAATGAGTTAAATTTATAAAAAAAATATACAAAATTATAGTTAAATATCTCATGTATTATTAAAAAAAATTATATCGATTTGATAATTTTTGAAAAAGGTATGGCAGCGTATATATCGTAAATTAGCGAATTTCAAATTTGTTTTTTTTTTGGAAAAAATCGACATGTACAGGAAACGAGGGAAATTTTTTCAATTTTGGGATAATCTGTACATCTAAATACGATTTTTGATCTTTTAAAGTATGTTAAAAGAAATCTGTTCGATGAGAGCAGAGAAATAAAACCCAGCGCAGTGGGATCGTGGCACAGTGGGGACGTGCTATAGTTGGGTCCAGTATAGATTTAATCTGACAGTGATTAAAATCACTATCACAATAAACGCTTTGGTACAAATCTGTAGACAATGTTTAATTCTAAGAAATTGGTGGATAATTACAAAACCAACATCAAATATTTCTTTAATTATATCCAAATTAGTAATTTTTAGATTAAAAAATATAATTTAAAATTTTATATTATATAATTTTTATAATGAAGTGTTTTCAAGTTATTATTGATTTTGACATTTAATATAATAAAGTAATAGTATTTAACCTACTTTTTTTCGTCCATAAAAGTGAAAGTTTATAAAAAAAAAATTAAATTTATTACTATACCTGTTAGCTCAACTTGCAAGGTTGAAATTGACATTATTAAATAGAAAAAAATGAAATAGTTAAGATTAATATGCAGTCAGGAAATTTTATAATTACTATTTACCCTAAATTTATCAGAAAAGTTCTATTTTTTTTTGCTTTTTTATCGTAATAGATCACTTAAATAAAAATCATAGTAATAATTTCTAATTAACTTTTGGAGTTTAAAATGATTCTACGATGGAAATATTCAGAACTTAATTAATTTTAATGATTTACTTTAACTAAAATTATCAATAAAAAAAAGTCGATAAAAAGATTAACTCAATAGGGCGTATTATATAATTTGAAATTATAATTGAAAAAATCCATCGTTAAATACAGGTGAAACAGAAAATCATTTTTTTTTTTTTAGATTTATGATTTATATAGCAACATTTTACAAAAAAATTTGCAATATTATAAATCATAAAAGTAAAATTATTTACATTTGTAGTTGATTACTTTTATCATATCAAATCTAATTCGACAATAAATACTTTAAAAATATTAGAATAGAATGATTTTAATTGTTTGTATGGATAAAGCTACTCATTATTTCTTCAAGCGATTTTTTTTTCAATTTTTGAGTGTAATATCTTCAACTAAATACGAATTGTAATCGTTAAAAAAAGGGAGGGTTGGAAAAATAAATCGCAGCCACAAAAAAATATATATAATAAAATAATATTAACATAAATAAGAAATTTCTTCTTACAAGGGAAGACTAAACTAAAAAAAAAAAAAATTTTATACACCACAGGTGGATTCGAATCTCGTACCCTAAGCGTGAAAGACACAAGTGTTCCGAAGGGTGATAAAATTAACAATTTAAGCTGATTCAAATTTTAAACATACTTTTTCAACTTTAAAAAAGCAAAAAAATTGAAATAACTTTAGCTTCTTATATTTTATGAACTTTATTCTATGTCAATTAAATTATATAATATTCATGAAAGTCATTTTATTTCTCATGTAAAATATTAAAAGAAAAGTTAAATACAAAACCCAGAATTTTAACAACTTTTAACAAAAATAGCATATTTTTGAATACGGTAGCCTCTTTCACCAAGAAGAAAATCTATACTTCGATTTTTTTTTGTTCATAGTAAAATATATAATATAAGCTTTAATTTAAGATTAAATAAAAGTGTTAATATTTCAGGAACATTTTCAATAATTAAATTGAAAAAAATTAAATTGCTCTTTTTAATCACCTCTGTGGGCAGGCTTAGAGACAAATCTTCAAAGAATTTATATCAAATCAAAGAAAAATATCTATTGTTTCGATATAAAAAAAATGTATTTTAATTTGCTCATTTTTCAAAATGTTATGGCAGTTTTAATTATTAAAATATTTCATGTTAAACAGTGATTTTTACATAAAAATTACATTTTTTATGAAATTTGACGGATATTTTCTAATAGTAGTTAAGTAGTCGGGACAAACTTTTTTTTTTTTTTGCTTTTGTACTACATTACAAGCTTTCATTTGGTATATGTTTAAAGGACGTAGTATTTTCAAAAGTGAAGTTGAAAAAATTGTCTATTTGTGAAAAAGCTGCTATTTTGAATCCCTCACCTTGGGGAAATTAAGATTTAAATTTAAAAGACATTATGTTAAATGAAAGGAAAATACCTAAGGTTTTAATACAAAAAAATATTACTTTTATTTGTTAATATTTCAATAAGTTATGGTAGTTTTAAATACAAAAAATATCACGATAGGAGCTGATTTTTATCGCAAACATTACATTTTTTGTTGAATTTCGGCAGCCATTTGCACATAAAAGAAAATGTGTCCGGACAATTTTTTTCATTTTATAGTATATGGCATGATATCTCACTTGATATATATTCAAAAGACTCAGTAGTTCCGGAATATTTTCAAAAATTAGTTGAAAAAGTTAGTTTTTGTAAAAAAGTTAGGGAAGTTTAAAATAAAAAAGTGATAAAAAAGATGAAATTTACCGATTTTTAATTTTTTTTTTTAGTATATTTCATGAAAAAACAGCTTAAAAAGTAATTTTTATTTAAATATTCAGAATAGTCAGCGGGTCAGTTCTGCGGAAACATTAGTGGTATTTGAATTAGAAGGTCAGGACAATCAATAGTATTTTCAATTAATATTAAAATAAATTTAATAACATTATTGAATATTCTCTTAGATAAAGAAAATATTACAACTTGTGTACTTACTTGTTTCTTGAGGAGCCGTATTGTCTACTAAACAATAAAAAAACATTGCATTTTGCGATGTTCAAATCTATGTACGTGTATTATATTTTTTTAACATTTTTTAAATATTCAGAGAATGAAATCAAAAGTATCCATAAAAATTGTTATAACCTTAGTAATATCATCATCATAAATGAATAAATCTTAAATGTCATGTATTAATGTGTGTTTTTTATATTAAATTACTTATCTTCCCCGTAAAAATTGAACAAACAATATTACATATAATTTAAAGTTCTTCAGATAATTTCTTACTCGAAACTACAGAATTGTCATTTAAACAAGTTCGAAACTTAACTAAAGAACAAGCTATATTAAAACCTATTCTATATAATACTAATGAATAGGTGATATAGGTATGCTATATTCATTTATAAATTGAAACATAACTTATTTTTATATTTTTCGTAGGAAAAATTAGCCTCTAACCTAACGCCAAATACAACAAATTCTTATATTTATATAAGATATTATATATCATTATTATATATACATATAATAAAATTTTCTTTTTTTACCAGTATAATCTGAAGTTATATTGATACCTAAATAATAAATAAGTTAAAATAATATACTTATATTAATTTCTAGTATTTAGTTATATATATAAATACTGTATACTTCTTATAGCTTCGGCCAGGTCATTTACTAAAAAAAAATGTATTATTGTATCTTTATACGTGCGATCGCATAGTTAAACATTTTGAATGTATAATCTTCAACTTAAGTTAAGAACTTACTCAAAACTCGATAAATTCCATCTAATTAAGTATAAAAAACAATAAATAAGCTATGTTGAAACCTATTCGGAATACTAGAATAGATTGAAAGAAATGCAATATTTATTAATTAAGTAACATAATACTTTAAAAAATTATAATTTATTATTCTCAAATATTATATATTTAAATTTTATGTAGGATAAATCAGCGTCGAACATGATCTAAATAACAAATTCTATGTGAATTAATAATATTTTCTCCTCTTACCAGTAAAACCTGAAGGTGTATTGATATCTAAATAATAAAATATTTTTAGTATTATCAAGCGCATATGAATCCATTAAACTATTATTTACTTCTTATGGCTTCGCTCAAATCATTAGCTAAAAAAAAATACATTTTATAAATTTCATTTATGGATCATATTGTACACGGTGAGCGCATAGATAAGCAACCCAAAAAACTTGAGTGTATCCACGTCTTATCGGTCCCACAGAACATCAGGTATCTACGTAGATCTCTCATCATATTTAATTGGTATTGTCAATTCGTCGACAACTACGCCGAAACAATAGCGCCGCTGACAAACCTATTAAAAAGGGGAACGAAATGGTTGTGGACGGAAGGCCATCAAAGAGCTTTTGATCACGTAAAAAAGGCCCTATGTAAGTCCCCACGACTGTGTCCTCCCGATTACGCGAAAACTTTCTGCCTTCAAACCGATGCAAGTAAAATGGGAGTGGGCGCAATACTTATTCAGCACGGAGATGATTTCCGGATGAGAGAAGAATCATATCCTTTGCTAGTAAGAAACTATCGGAAACGCAGAAACTTTACGCCACCGTATAGCGAGAATGCTTAGCAATTATATTGGCGACTGATAAGTTTCGCCCGTACTTAGAGTATTCTCCTTTGGAATTATTTATGGATTAATCCGCGTTGACTTGGCTACACAGAGCAAAGGACAACAATTCTAAATTAACTAGGTGGGCGCTATATATAGGGAATTTGAATTTTACAACGACACATGTACCCGGGAAGCACAACGAAGGACCGGACATATTGTCGCGTTATCTGACCACAGGGCCCCCTGTTGACGAAGAGTTACTCGAAGACATACTATTGGGCGCACCGACGACGAGAACGTCGGACAACACGGGGATCACTCTTTCTAATGTTTTTGCCTTAACCGAAACAAACGTTGTGTCAGATTAATAGTCGTTTACGGGGGGAGGAGAAATATAAGAGTGGCAAATCGACGACCCGTTTCTTTCATCCATCATGAAACAATTATTCAAGGAGAACGCCAGAGAAAACGATAAGGAGTCCAGTAAGAACAACAACGAATATTTCATGTTAGACGGACTTATACGTATTTGTATGAGCGTAGACACACCGGCCGTAATACCTGTATAGGGAGTGATTTGGTGATACCACGACGATGTTCTGGCGTGTCATCCAAGATGGAAAGAAACCTACCGAGCGATCAAACAACGTTTCTATTGGAAGAGCCTAAAAAACATAGTACGCGAGTACGTAAGACCGTGTGATGTTTGCGCGTGTACAATGGCCCTAAATAGGCGTCCGAATGATCCTCTAACTTCGTGAAAACCAAGACAACCGTGGGAGGTCATTAGTATCGACTTAATGGGTGAATACTCTAAAACATCAAGGGAAAAAACGAACCTGTTAGTAGCAACTGACTGTTTCAGTCGCTGGACCTAAGCGTACCCGATAGGCGCAGCGACTACAAAGACGATTGTAGACACGCTTGAACGCACATTTTTTTCTCGTTTTAGGTACCCCCGCGTATTGTTTTGTGACAATGGACGGATTCTGGTTTCTAACGAAATAATTAACGCGATAAATAGATGGGGGGCGGAAGCCTGGGCCACATCTATTTATCATCCGTGCGCAAATCCGGTAGAACGAAAAAATCAGGAGCTAAAAAAGGTCTCCGGGCCCATCTGGTAGAGGGTGACCTAGCACCTGGGACATGAGTATACCATCGATACTATTTGTGTTACGTAATCGTCGTAATAAAATGATCAGTTGTCCGCTCTCCGTACTCGTTCTCGAACGAGAGGCGAAACGACCTGGTGATTGGGTGGTCGTACATGTAAACACGGCAACTGTCGATAAAGTAAACAATAGTTGGCCATCACCCAAACAACAGGCTGACAAAACTATAGATAACATTCCGACGAAAGACGTAGTAAAACCTTTTACGGTCGGAGACGTACCACTTATCTAACAAAAAAAGTGAAAAAAGGGGTGTTCCTAAGAGACCAGAATCCCCCACGCCAACTTCACGTCTCATGTTTAAAATTAAAATAGTTAACATGAATTACCAATTTCGCCCCGAGTACGGACTGTCGACGATGTGTAGTAAGGCTAATAGGCCGTTTTAATTTTCAGTATGTCAGATCAGAAGAGTAGCGAGCGTGACGAGTTGGTGCGCGATCTCCTCCGCCGGTTGGCTATCCGTGCTTCGGTAGAGACGACCCGGGACGCTCCGCTACACCGGATACTTGGGAATCCGATAGCGAGCCTCTTCTACAATCGTGAGATGAGGGACGGACAGGCAGCTACACTCCGCGAGACCCAGAGGGCCCTCGCCACCGTATCGGTGAACTCGCGGCCTGTGCCGTGAGGGGGTGCTACCTACCCCCCCTGTGACCAGCTACCACTACCGTGGTGGTGCAGCGATCAGCGGGCCGACGGTGTCAAACCACCGATTGCCCCGCTCCTGCACCCTACGCCTGGGACAGAACGTTCGACGTGGCGAGTACGTCCTCTAGGGCGGGCTCGACCACCCGGTCGCCACCGGTTTACCTGGGCTATAGAAAGCTCACTCCCTTCGACATACGTCGGAGGGAGAGCATCAACTAGGATTTCATGGCGCGGAAGGACTGCGTGAGGGAAGCGGCATCCACCATCCATGTCGGCGCCGCCTACACCAGCACCGAGGATCCGTCCGCCACCGCTGTTTGCAATTATTCAAACCGCCGGCGCCGCATGGCCGACCCCAGACATGTCAACCACCACAGGGGACCAACATCGAGGCCAAGCCCAATGGACGTAGACGAACTGGGTCGCGCCATGGAGGCATTATTGACGTCTTCTCCTGGTCCTCCTCCTCTTCCTCATTCTCCTCCTGAAAACCCCCAACCCGAGTAATTACGCGAGGCGTTTCCTTCCTTTACTTCCTCGGTCCTTACATCATCCATAGGTTACGGATAACTGGATCAAATAGTACACTCTCCTTTGCCAACGAGACTGACTGTTTCAGTATAATACAGTAAGTCTTAAACGCAATATCAATGACAATCCACACACAATAGGAACATGGCGGCAAGTCTACAATTGTTTATTACTTATAACTACTGTGTATGATGCGACAATTTGTTTACAAAACCGGCCGGGTCAAAAATAAACTGACGGCCTGGAGGCTGGGGGAGTTGACACACCACCGCCCTACGATCTAGGCTGGCACTCAACTGTATCTCTCTAGATATCAGCCATCCAACTATTAATATGACAATCGGTTATCATCGGTTGTCTCCCCACCCTTGACACCGAGATAAGGTCGCCGCCGAGTATGGATACGTATATTGCGTTCTGTTTCGTTTACGGCGTGCACCTTAAATGGCTGCTCCGTTCAGTTTTCTGTGGTAATTTTTTTTTTTTTTAATAGCCTTTATTAAAATAATAAGCTCAAAAATTATAAACAAAGAAAAAAAATGAGTGAATTAGAAGTATAACAGTAACAGTGCTATGTTATAATGGTATAACAGATATGACAATAATTGTTAGTATACTCAAAAATAAAGAAGAAATTAAATATTATTAAAATTATTGTTAATAGAGATTTAAAAGTACAACTAAAAGAATTACTAAATTAAAATTTTTATTTGAAATAATGGAGGATGAGAGAAAGTAAATAAATAAGTAAATAGAAGAATATAAAATAAAATAATGAGAGATTAAATGACAAAGCCGGAACTCCTCAAGAAAGATATGATTGTTGTGATACCATTTATAGCACAAATTTAATATTATTCGCAATGTTTATCATAAAACAAATTAATTATCTTAAATTGATATCATGGCATAATCACTGATGTAATTAATACAATGTATGTACTGGTTCAGTTTAAGATTAATATCTGTATCATAAATGTAAACACTATAAATTAATCTACAAAGACAATGTATTAAGTAACAGTATCTCTAAGAAAAATCAAATGTACCATAACCAATGTATTATATTATCCCTGCTTATAATTTTCGTTTCAATAAAAATGAGAGCTCTGGTGGTCAATTCTTACATTTTGATGACATATATAGATCATAGATTTCATATAAAAAGCTGTAAAAAGCTATAAAATGGAGACATTCCACTTCTCAAGCCAAGAGTCAAATGAAGCAATAGACCACCAATCTCTCAAATATTCAGAAAGAAAAACTTGTCAGTTTTATTCATTTCAATTCCGCAAAACAGTATAAAGTAGGTGATACATTTTAATATCAATAATTTGAAAATATATAATCCGAGAATAAAATGACAAAACAATAAACATTAACTTATCTTTACACATATTAAATGTATTAACTGGTTTGTCAAAAGAAATATTAAATGCGTTCGAAGTGCTTGTCCAAAGATCGTACCTACGCATTTTCTTATTACGTTTCATAGTTGTCGACCTAAGCTCGTGCCTTTGAAACGTGAGACTATTCAAATGATTCACCAAAGTTTATAAATTTGATACACACATTAAATCTCAATATTTATCATAACCCTTTTATTAAATTGTATTGTCATTCTCTAAAACCCTCGGACTCCACGACCCCAATAATTATTAAACAAACTGAATTATAGTAACCGAAAGTAAGATAATTAAATTTATTCAAGAACTCAAAAATTCAAATTAATCAATCAACACACCCAATTTTATTTATCTTATTAGATCATAACGAAAACCTTACTTTTGGCTTACTGTATGATTGAAATAATAATAAAGGAAGAACGGGAATTAAGAGTATTAGCTACGGAAGGGGGATTAATATTGTGGGAGGCTAAGAGGCTGAATAGTTTATTTCTGCTGTTAATTAGGGCAGGACAGTCAAAGAGAAGATGAGAAAAATGTTTTTTTTTGTTCCCATGTTCATTGTCAGGCGATCGTAAAAATCTTTACTTGTATATATATATATATATACCAACTATGTGTTGGTAAACCGCGTAATAAGGGTAACTTTGCCCAATGAGCTATACGCGTTGTCATTTTTAGTGGTGTTACCTTATTTACATATAAATTGTGTGGTCGCATTTTTTTTGAATACGTGATAGGGGTTCTTAGCAATATACATTTAGTTTCTAACCTAGAATAAAATATCTCAAAATTGTGCTACTATAAAAAAATTCAAACTTTTTTTTAATTTGAATTTTACTATAACTTTATTTTTAAATCTCTGGTCCAAATAAAATTTTAACTAATGATAATAAACATTCCTTTGTTATGCTTAGTATGAAAATCCAATGAAGATATATTTATCCACTATCAGAATTTAGCCGTGTAATTGGAAATTTTTTAAGCAAAAAAATTAATAAGAAAATTAGCGTCTAACTTAAAGCCTCATTAAGGTCTAAATAACAAATTCCATGAATAATAATATAATTTTTTCATCTTACCAGTAATAACTCTAGTAATATTGGAATCTATATAACAAATAATTCAAAATAATATACTTTTAGTAATATCTGTGGTGTACACTCTCTATAATATCGTCTTTATCAGTTGCTGACCGGCATTCGATGAGACCGGTTTGTGTTGTGTGTTTTTATATTAAAATGTTATTCATCTAATAACTTGTGTATTTAATTAATTAAATTATTTATTATAATTTAAGAGTAAAAAGATCTACAACATAGTGTCAGGTGTAAATTAAATCGTCTTAAAATGGTTAATTACGTGCTAAAATGTATGTAATTTAAATAATTGTGTTGTTTTTTTTTTTAAAAGAAAAAAAACTGATAGTGTTATCGTTTAAAAAACAATGGAGGTAAAATTCCAAAAAATTTAAGTTTAGACGGAAATTTGGCGGTGAATTGGAGAAGATTTTACCAACAATTTGAAATATTCCTCTTAGCATCAGGTAGTTATGAAAAACCAGATGAGGTAAAAATAGCTATTTTTTTAAATGTTGCTGGCGAGAAGTTAGTTGACATTTACAATACATTCACCTTTGACCGGCGAACAAAGAGAACGTATGATAACGTAATAACTTTGTTTAAAAATCATTTCGAACCAAAAAAAACCATTATATTCGAACGATTTAAATTTTATTCTTGTAACCAAGAACCGGACCAGTCCATTGGTGAATATGTCACAAAATTAAGAATATTGGCATCGAGCTGTGAACTCAGTGAAACTGAAAATATGATTAGAGACAAATTGATTATTGGTATAAATCAGTTGGAAATAAAAGAAAAGCTGTTACACGAATCTGATGTAACATTAGAAAAGGCGATTGATATTGCAAAAAAATGGGTAGCAACCAAAGAACAAATTAATGAAAAGTTTAGTGCTACTAGAGAGTTAAACACGGTGATTTCTCTAACAGAAAACAAACTACCGAGGGCCAAGATATTCAAAATAAACGGAACGTTCAAACCAATTGTGAATTAGCCTATGATTGCTTTAAATGTGGTCAAAATCATAGTAGGAAAAATTGTCCAGCTTTTAACAAAATATGCGTAATTTGTAAAAAAAAAAATAATTTCAAAATAGGCTGTAAGCAATATAAAATAAGTCAACGGGAAGAAAAAGAAGAAAAACCAGGTAATGTTGATATTCATGTTTGCAAGACGAATGATGGCGATGAAGAAAAATATTTTCTGGATTCGGTCTCGTGCATGTTAGAAAATGAAACGGAATGGACACAAAGGATAATCATAGAAGGCAAAGAAGTGACATGCAAATTGGATACGGGTTCACAAGCAAATGTAATGGGAGTCGACACATTACACAATGTTTTGCAAAAGGAGTTGAAACTGGAGAAAACTAATATAAAGTTAGTAGGTTATAATAATAACATATTAAGTCCTTGTGGCATAATAGTTTTGGATAGTATAGTAAATAATTTTAAGTGTAAGATAAAATTTGTGATAGTAGATATTAAATGTCGTCCCATACTAGGGTAAATACATGTAAAAAATTAAATTTAATTAAGAGAATATCTTGTAAAGAAGTTAATGCGGTAAACAAGGTTCATTTTTTTAGTAAACAATATTTAATTTCAAACTACTCTAAAGTCTTTAACGGGTTGGGAACTTATCCTGGTAAACCGTATTCAATAAAACTAAAAAAAGATGTTAAACCAATATCTTTCCCAGCTCGTCGAGTAGCAAAGAGTCTACTGCCAAAACTAAAAAATACAATAGATAATTTAGTTAAACAAAATGTTAAAGTAGATAGTCCAACATCGTGGATTCATAATATAGTGTTAGTTGAAAAACAAAACGGTGACTTAAAAATTTGTTTGGATCCGAAGTATCTAAATGAGAATATAGTAAAAGACTCTTATCCTATTCCTAATCATGAAGAAATTTTATCTGATTTAAAAAATAAAACTTTTTTCACCGTCTTAGATTTGAAAAGCTCTTTTCATCAAATAAAGCTCGATGAAAAGCCAGCAGATCTTTGTTGTTTCTCAACACCTTTCGGAAGGTATAAATTTATTAGAAGTCCGTTTGGGTTGTCAGTATTGTCTGAAGTGTGTAAAAGTAAAAATTCTGAAATTTTTGGTGGTATAGAAGGTGTAAAAGTATATATAGATGACATATATATAGCTGCCGAAAATAAATAAAACACGATGAAATACTTAAAGAGATTTTAGAAAAAGTTATAAAAGCAGGTATAACACTTAATGAAAAAAAAAATACAGTTCAAACTATCACAGGTAAAAATGTTAGGCTTTATTGTAAGTAAGGCTGGTATTAAAATAGATCCTGATCGTTTAAATGCAATCTCTAAACTAGAGATTCCTAAAAATAAAAAACAAGTTATGCGATTTCTAGGTATAGTAAAATATTTCACTAAATGTGTACCAAACATTAGCAATGTTAGCGCGCCATTAAGAGAGTTAACAAAAGATAAAATAGAGTGGGAATGGTCAGATAAACAACAAAACTCATTTAATGAAATAAAAAAATTATTAACGTGTTCACCAATTCTTGCACACTTTGATGATAACAAATTAATCGAAGCACAAACTGATGCATTAAAAGATGGCGTAGGAGCAGTTTTATTGCAAGAGGGTTCAGTTGTAGCTTATGCGTCTAAAAGTTGATCTGAAACACAAAAAAGATTGCTGGCAATAGTCTTTGCCTGTGAAAAATTCCATTATTTTATTTATGGTAGGCCCATCTTATTAAAGACGGATCATAAGCCTTTGGTGTCGATAATAAAAAAAGATTTAAACAAAGTTTCACCTAGACTACAAAGAATGCTTTTAAAAATTGTTATGTATAATATACAATTAGAATATTTGCCCGGTTCAAAAATGTTTATTGCGGATGCGCTCAGTAGAGATTATCTTCATAATGATATTGGTAATAAAAATGTTATCAAGGACGTGTATCATAATATACACGACATAAAAACTGTTTGTCCGATAAGTAATGAAACTTTAAATAGATTAACAGAAGCTATAAATGGTGATCATGAGTATAGAATGATTGTAGAATGTGTAAATAATTGGCCCAACATTAATAGCATACAGGGAGAGATGTGTAGTACCTACAAAATAAGACAAAATTTGACAGTTGTTAATCGTGTTTTATTCTTTAATAATAAAATAGTCATTCCACGGGCTATGAAGGCATATGTTTTAAATGTTTTATATGAAGGTCATTTTGATATAAATAAATGTAAATCTAGAGCAAGGAAGTTAATCTACTGGCCTAAAATCAATAATGATATTGAAAAAATTGTAAATAATTGTGAATTATGTGATACATTTAAAAGTAACAATAGTAAATTACCGATGTTAATTCATGATATTCCGTGTAGGCCATGGCAGAAAATAGGCACAGACATTTTAGAGTATAAATCAAAGTCATATCTAGTAGTAACTGATTATTTTTCAAAGTGGTTTGAGCTAGAAAAATTAAAGATAAGTCTGCTAAACAGGTAATAAAAACCTTTATAAACATTTTTTCTATTCATGGTTGCCCGGATGAGATTGTTTCGGTCAACATTCCATTTAACAGTCAAGAATTTAAACACTTTTGCACTGAATGGAACATTAAATCAATTTATAGTAGTCCGCATTATCCTAAAAGCAATGGACAGGCAGAAAAGACTGTCAGTACATGTAAAAAAATCTTAAAAAAATCAGAGGAGAAAAAGAGCAATTTAGATATATTTCTGTTGAACTATAGAAACACACCAATAAAGGGTTTGGGGCTATCACCGGCTCAATTTTTGATGTCTCGTAGATTAAGAGATAAGTTACCGGTAGTAAATAATTTATTAGAGCCGTTTAAGTTAAGTTTAAGTCAAATAAAAAATGATCTTTTGAGCAGAAATCAAAAACAAAAAATTTACCATGATAAAAATAGTAAAAATCTTAAAGAGTTACAAGTTGGGGATAATGTGTTATTTAAGACAGATTATAACATAAAAAAATGGGTGCGAGGAAAAGTTGTAGATTTAGCCAGATCTCCGAGGTCTTTTATTGTGGCGAGGGAAGATGGAGTGAGGTACCGTAGGACGAGAGAACACTTAATATTAAAACAAGAGGTAATATGGGGAAATGAAAACAATTTATCCTATAATAATAAGAATATTGAAATAAAAGATAGTGATGAACCTCGGAGACGCAAACTTCGTCCTCGTAAGAAGCTATGTCGACCTTAAACGGTATACATAATATTTTAAATTAATATATGTTTAATTTTATGTGTCATGAAATAGTACATGTTTACATGTTTAATTATTATGTATCATAACGATTAACATTTAATATTTTAGAATTCTATTTATAATATTATGTATTTTTTTTTATATAAAAAAAAAATATTTTTGTTTTTATTGTATATACATTGAGGGGAGGATGTGGTGTACACTCTCTATAATAATATCGTCGTTATCAGTTGCTGACCGGCATTCGACGAGACCGGTTTGTGTTGTGTGTTTTTATATTAAAATGTTATTCATCTAATAACTTGTGTATTTAATTAATTAAATTATTTATTATAATTTAAGAGTAAAAAGATCTACAACATAGTGTCAGGTGTAAATTAAATTCAATATCAAGTAGATATAAATTAAATTATAATTTACTTCTTATAGCTGTAGACAAAATATTTACTAAAAAAATTATAAAAAAATTAGCGGCTAACTTAAAGACACATCAAGATCTAAATAAGAAATTCCTGTATATTAATATTATATATCCATCTTACCAGTAAAAACTGAAGTCCTATTGTTATCTAAATAACAAATAAGTCAAAATAATATACTTTTATTAATATCAAGTGGATATAAATCAAATAATAATTTACTTCTTATAGCTTCCAATAACTTATTTACTAAAAAAAATACAATATATGTTTAATATTATTTGAACGATCTTATATGTTCAAACTTTTAAATGTATAAATATAGTTTTTTGAATATCTCACGAATAAATTTCATAAAGATAATTTATGCATAAAGAATTTTGTATATTGAAAAAGTTTTTTCAATCTTAGATTTTGAAAATTGTATGAAAATTTTGGCTACTTTAAATATAGTTAAACTTGTCCAAACAGGTAACATTATCGTAAGGAAACGTAAAATGAGAAGGTACTGGTTTAATAATTATGTGATTTTTAATTATTTATCCATATAAATTCTAAACTGATTTTGTAACTTTATGCTAAAGAACGGTAGCATAGTGGGCTCGCGGCACAGTGTGAGGGTGGCATAGTTGAGACTAGTATAGATGATATCTGACAGTGATTATTATCACTGAAACGTTTCGATGCAAATCTGTAGATAGTGTTTAATTTTAATAAATCGATTGATTATACCATAAGCAAAATTCTAACTCAAAAAGAATTAAGGAAAAATTATATAAATTTAGTTAAATACTTACTCAAAACTTGATAAATTCCATCTAAACAAGTATAAAAAGAACTCTGAATGTTTAAACGTATTTGGATTTCAAAAAAGATTGAAAGAAATGCGATATTTATTAATTAAGTAAAAAATACTTAAAAAAATTAATTTATTATTCTCAAACGTTATATATTTAAATTTTATGTAGGAAAATTTAGCGTCGAACATGATCCAAATAATAATTTCTATGTGAATAAATAACATTTGCCCTTCTTACCAATAAAACCTGAAGGTGTATTGATATCTAAATAATAAAATATTTTTAGTATTATCCAGTACATATAAATCCATTAAATTGTTATTTACTTCTCATAGCTTGGAACAAAATATGTACTAAAAAAATAGAATATATTTTTAATTTTATATGTATGATTTTATATGTTCAAAACAATAAATGTATAAATATATTTTTTTAAATATCTCATGAAAAATATACATTAAAATTAATTTATGTATAAAGATTTTTGTATATTAATAACATTTTCATTTTTACATTTTGAAAAATTTTGAATACATTCAATATAGCTATTAACAATTATATGATATTTTTAATATTTTTCCATAAGATTTATTTTCTAACGTTATATTTTTCATTTTTTGTAAGAAAAATTAGCCACTGACTTTTTAAGACCTAAATAAAAAATTTTTTATTTATTAATAACATTTTCCCTTCTTACTAATATTATTTCTTGTCGTATCGAGATCTAAATAATAAATAAATTAGAACAAAATAATAATTAGAATAAAATATTTTCAGTATTATATAGTGCATATAAATCCATTAAATTATTAATTACTTCTTATAGCTTCGTGTATGTCATTAACTAAAAAACAATTTATTTCATATATTTTTTTTTTCTTACAAACTTATACAGGATGATTCTTTATCATAATCAACTCAATTATTCACACAGTAATAATAATTTAAACATTTTGTTTTCTGGTTTTTTTTAGTTACACATTATTCTTGAATTATTAACTATATAATACTTTTTAAGTTCATTTCTTATGTCATGTAAGGGCGTAAACTTTGTTTTTTTAAATGGAAACAAATATTTTTAATTTAATAGTAAATGGCATTTGAATTTGTATGTAAGTATATTCGTTTATTAGATATAAACATTTAAAGTTTCAAATTTTTGAGTTAATATACATGTATAATACACAAAGAATTACAAATACAGGTAGTTAATTGGTTTTTTATGAGTTCAATATATGCAGGTACACAGCTTTGGTATTATCAATGATAGTAAGGCACATTGTTGTGAGTTCATAAATACACTAATTGACTATTTAAAAAGTATATCTAATGATAGTCATAATTGATAATAAACAATCCGTGACTGTGACAGCGATGTCATAAAAACCATTTAGCTACCTGTATTTGTAATCCTTTGTATATTATACATGTATATTAACTCAAAAAATTGAAACTTTAAAAGTTTATATCTAATAAACAAATAAAATGATATTAAAAATTAATGCGTAATCCAAATAGGGCGCACAATTTATTACACCTATATATATATATATTTATTTAAATCTATCTATGCGTCGTAGTCGTGTTCGTTGGAACTAGGTACGTCGAAGCAAAACGAAAAGAAAACAAAAGAACAACCGAAAAATACACCACCTCAGGTGAACGTCGAAACGAAACAGAACGCAATATCGGTAATCCATATTCGGCGGCGGCCTTATCTCAGTGTCAAGGGCGGGGTGACGACCGATGACAACCGATTGTCATATTAATAGCTGGACGGCTGATATCGAGAGAGACACGGGTGAGCGCCAGCCTAGAGCAAAAGGCGGTGCCGTGTCAACTCCCCCCCACCAAGCCGTCAGTCTATTTCTTGACCCGGCCGATATTTGTAAACAAATTGTCGTATCGTATACAGTAGATAAAAGTAATAAACAATTGTTTACTTACCGCCATGTTCCTTGTACGTGGTGATGGTCACTGATATTGCGTTTTTAAGACTTACCGTATTAGACTGAAACCTTCAGTCTCGCTGGCAAGAGGGAAAGGACTATTCGGTCCCGTCATCCGTAACCTGCGGATGACATAAGGACCGAGGAGGTAGAGGAAGGAAACTCCTCGACCGATTACTCGGCTCGAGGAGTTTCAGGAGGGGAGTCAGTAGGAGGAGGACAAGGATCCGACGCTAGAAAGGCTTCAACCGCGTGTCCCAGGTCGTCCTCGATCACCATGGGCGTCGGTCCGACTGCGGCGGTTGTTACGGCGGAGCTAGCAGTGCGTACGATCTCCGAGAGAGGGGGTAGGCGAGTCCGTGGCGCCGGCATCGGGGCCGCCGGTGCGGTTGTCAGACGAAGAGCCGCCTCCCTCTCCCGGTCCTTCCTTTCCTTGAAGGCCCGATTGATGCGCTCACTCCGACGTACGTCAGAGGGGGTGAGCTTCCTATACCCTGGGTGCGCCGGTGGCGGCCGGGTTGCCGAGCCCGTCCCGGAGGACGTGCTCGCCACGTCGGCCGCTCTGTCCCGGGTGTAGTGCGCCGGGGCTGGACGGTCGGCGGCCCGACGCCGTCGGCCCGTCGATCGCTGCACCGCCGCGCCGGTGGTAGCCGGGCGCTGTGTGGGAGGGGCACCCCCCCCCCCCGGCACAGGCCGCGGGACCACCGGCACGGTGGCGATAGCCCTTCGGGTTTCGCTGAGGGACGCCGCACGGCCGTCCCTCACTCCCCGGGTATAGAACGCGTTCGCGATCGGGTCCCTCAGGATCTGATGTAACGCAGCGCTCCGGGCCGCCTCGACCGTCGCACGGATCGCTGGGACGTTGGCCAGTGGTACGTCGAGCGCCTCCGCCAACCGGCGAAGGAGGTCGCGTACCAGGCCATCGCGTTCTCCACACTTCTGACAAGACATGCTGAAAATAAAACAGCCCGTTAGCACTACTATACCTCGACGACAGCCCGTATACGGGCCGTAATTTGTAGTACTTGACAACTATTTTAATTTTAAACATGCTACGTGAAGTTTGCGTGGGGGATTTTGGTCTGTCAGAAACACCCCTTTGCCTACTTTTTCCGCTAGTCTGACAGGGCCCCACCACTTCGGCGCGAAGCCGGCACAAAATTTTTTTTTGTTTATTAGATAAGTGGTGTGCTTTATAGTACACCACGTCTCCGACTGTAAAAGGTTTTACTACGTGTTTCGTCGGAACGTTATCTACAATTTTGCCGGCCTGCGGTTTGGGTGATAGGCGGCTATTGTTTACATTGTCGGCCGTCGCCGTGTTTACATGTACGACCGCCCAGTCACCAGGTCGTTTCGCCTCTCGGCCGAGAACGAGTACGGAAGGCGGATAACCGGTTTTTTCATTCCGACGATTACGCAACGCAAATAATATCGACGGTATTTTAATGTCCCAGGTGCTATGGTCGCCCTCTACTAGTAGGGCGCGGAGACCTTTTTTTAGCTCCTGATTTTTTCGTTCTACCGGATTTGCGCGCGGATGATAAATAGGTGTGGTCCAGGCTTCCGCCCCCCATCTATTTATCGCGTTAATCATTTCGTTAGAAACCAGATTCCGTCCGTTGTCGCAAAGCAATACGCGGGGGTACCCAAAACGTGAGAAAAATTCGCGTTCGAGCGTGTCTACAATCGTTTTTGTAGTCGCTGCGCCTATCGGGTACGCTTCGGTCCAGCGACTGAAACAGTCAGTTGCTACTAACAGGTTCGTTTTTCCCCTTGATGTTCTGGGGTACTCACCCATTAAGTCGATACTAATGACCTCCCACGGTTGTCTTGGTTTGCGCGAAGTTAGAGGATCATTTTTGCCCCTCTCATGTTCCTAACCATGTCATTTAGATTAGGCATGGGGTACGCGTCCGAAACGGTTACTTCGTTTAGTCGTCGGTAATCTATACATAAACGAAAAGTCCCGTCCTTCTTCTTGGCCAGCACTATCGGTGCTGACCACGGCGATACACTCGGTTCTATTAGCCCCTGCGCCTCCATGTCGTTTACCATATCGTCAATAACCTCCTGCTTGTGCAGAGGGTAGGGGTACGGTTTTAGTGCGATAGGAGTCGGGTCTTTCAATAGAATATCGTGCTCGATTAATTTTGTGCGACCCACCGTGTCGTTAAAGACCGCTGCGTAATTACATATCGTCTGTGTTAATAACGCGCGCGTTCGTGGGTCGCCGGTTATATCTAACTGCGTCAGATCTGGTTTGCGGATCGTGTGTCGTGCGCCTGATTTCCAACAAGCGGTTGTACGTTTCCTATTGCCTAAGTGTATTGTTCCTGCTGAGTAGTCCCAGGCGACTTTCTGATCAATCAGAAAACCATGACCAAGTAATACGTCGCAATATAGGTCGTCTAAAATAACCGCTGAAAAACGCACTTGTAGATCCGCGATTTTGGCGGTAAACGTGGCGGTACCGTTCGTCATGGCGGTGTGTCCGTCCGCTAGTCTAACCGCGTTAGTGTGTCCTTTATAAACAGTTCCGTATTTATAAGCTATTACCGGTTTTACATACGATTTATACGCCTGTGAGTCGAGTAGGTCTGTGACAAAGCCAGTTTCAAATTCTAACTCGACTGCTGGAGTAGTAATTCTACGCGGGCATTTTCGTTGGCCATTACTCAGGTGGTTTACGGTTCGAACGGGGGGCAGCTGGTTCTTAACCGCGACGTCGGTTTGCCCACCGACAGTGTTAACTGCCATTAGTGGACTAGCCGGATCGACTGACACCCCCTCCCCCACTGTGCCCGAAAAAATTTCGAACACCTGACTCGCGCATTGTTCGTTCGTGTCGGCAGCGAGTTCGAACTCCGATACCCTGATTACATCCGAATTTACCGCGGCGTCCCCTCCATTCCGATAAGAGGGGTGCGGTGCCGAAAAAGTGCCAAGATCGTTGGCGGTATGTAACTCGTAAGGGCCGTTAGATTCGGTGTTCTGCGCGACGGTCGTGATGTGTGGTATGTTACCGAATAAAAATTGCGAAGCGGCAGGGCGCGTTTTAAACGAAACGTCGTCTAAAACGCTGCGCCCTGTTTGAAACTGTTGTAGGCTGGAGGGGCGGACTAATTCCCTCCTAGCCGATTGCCGTTTCCCGATACCGACGGTCTGTTTGGGCACTGGCGGTGCCAGTGTCGCTCGCCGCAATATCGGCACGGGGTAGGCGGTGCGTCCGCGTGTGCATAACCCGCTCGCTGTCGGGCCGCTGGTTGCGCGGTATGCCGCGGATGCAGATCGGCTGGCTGTCGGGACGCTGGCGGAGCGTACCGAGGAGCCGCGGTTTTGTCTACGTCGTGCGCTATTTCACGTAGATCGGCGAAAGACGCTGGGTGCATTAACCGTATCATAGCGCGGTAATCGTCCCGTAAAAGCCCCGTTAACTGTCGCACAAGTTGTTGTTCTGGTAAACCACAACGTACTCGCGCGGCCAATCGTTGTTTATGAATGATAAATTCAGTTAACGTTTGTCGGGGGCCCTGTCGCGTCGTTTTTAAGTCCGTCTCGAGCGCCGTCCGGATGTCGATATTGTCGAACTCCTCGAGTAATTCGGACCTAAATTCCGCCCATGGCATATTGTTTAATTTTATAGCTCGCCACCAATCACCTGCCCTGTCGTTCAAAAACGGGACGACGATGTTCACCCACGCAGTTGGGTGTATACCGCCCTGACAGAGTAGATCCTCCGCTCTGTCTAGAAACTCCCGTGGGTCCTCTTCGTTTCTCCCGTAATATTCAGGTAAACAGGCGCGTACGGTGCGTAGGTCGTGGTAAGGTACCAGCACAGACCGCGAGCTGCGGGTAGGCGACAAATCATTGAAGGACCGACGACCGTCGGTTGTGTTGGATTGCCCCTCCCGTGGCTGGCGCGTAAACGAAAAATCTGTCGGCTCGTTCTCATATGTATGAGAGCGCGGAATATGTTCGTCTTGCCAACCCGTGCTACACATTCGTGGTAGCGACGCGCGCGACGCTTGTCCGTACGATCGTCTCATGTTGCGGGCTTCCTGCGCTTCGATGTCCGCGAGGCGCTCGTGTAAAGTTGCGTCGTGTCGTGTCGGGTCCGTCGCTCCCGATGGACCGAATGTAACGCGATGCGCGTCCGATCGTCGACTATCGTTTCGTTCGACGTTAACTTGACGAATAGTCGGTTGTGCATCAACGTGTGGGGACGGCAGCATATTTTGACTGAGTCGCTCCAGCATATTTGAAATCTGTCGCTGTTCCAATGACATACGCGATAGCGAGCGTTCTAGTTCAGTCATCCGTGCCTCGATCCGCGCGTTATTCGAAATATCGCGAATATTCTGTCGGATCGCCCCGACTTGTTCTGCCGCGTGCGCTATCGAGCGGGCAACGTATACGTCTTCAACGTATGGCACGCCTAGTTGACCGCTTGCGCGCGTAATATCCCCCGGTTGGTCGACATCAGACTCGTCGTCTGATGTGTGTAGCGCGAGGTTCACCGGATGTTCCTCCGGTAACGGTGCTACGCCGGGCCGCTGATAGTTCGCGTCGAGTTCGCGGGCGCGGTCCGTGGAGTTGTCTACAACCACCACTTCGGGTTCGCGGACCGGATTTTCGCTATCGAGCGGCGTACGGGGCGGTAAAATTTCAGTAGCTGGGTCCCTCCCTTCGCTACGTATGTTTTCCTCCAGCATAACTAGCATATTGGGTTTCGTCGCGTAGCATGGTAGCTGTCTAAAAGCGCATTCGCGACGTAATTCAGCGCAATTCATTTGTGCTAATAATTTCCCCGACATATTGACCGTGAATATTTTGTTTATTTACAATACTAATAATCAAATGTATGTTACTATAATAGCGGAGATAAACAATATCTCCGTGTACGGTCAAAATTTACTATTGCTGTAGAAAAACAAGTGTTATTATTATTGCTATTGTTGTGATAATGACCGCGATAAAATGGTCCGGGGCCGCCGTATATGATATGGCAGCGAGTGAACAATAATAATAACGTTTACCTGGAATCGGCCGCTTTGACAAGGTCAGACGAAAATATACGATTTTTATCTACCAAAAGACTGTAACTATCGGCCGGAAATTCACTTTTTGTCGCTATCAATAAGGTCTTTATAATAAACTGTAACCAACACTTTAAAACGACAATACCTACGGCGGATTATATTAGATAAACTGCTCTGACTTTATTTTTATAAAAGAAAATTTTCCCAGAGCCCGGCTAAATCTAATCCCGCTAACACGTAACTGTGAATAACCCAGGTAAAAATTCACTGCTGTCACCAGTGAAATCCGTTCAAATAACTATATGAACTAATAAATCTAAAAGGGAGACTTCACCGTTTCACGTTAAAACTAAAATCTAATATAATTAGAAATACAACTGAATCGGCTCAAAGCCTCTTACCTTAACTTCTCGGCCGGTTTTGATTCCTTTTGACGGGGAGCCAGTTAATGCGTAATCCAAATAGGGCGCACAATTTATTACACATATATATATATATATATTTAAATCTATCTATGCGTCGTAGTCGTGTTCGTTGGAACTAGGTACGTCGAAGCAAAACGAAAAGAAAACAAAAGAACAACCGAAAAATACACCACCTCAGGTGAACGTCGAAACGAAACAGAACGCAATATCGGTAATCCATATTCGGCGGCGGCCTTATCTCAGTGTCAAGGGCGGGGTGGCGACCGATGACAACCGATTGTCATATTAATAGCTGGATGGCTGATATCGAGAGAGACACGGGTGAGCGCCAGCCTAGAGCAAAAGGCGGTGCCGTGTCAAAATTCAAATGCCATTTACTATAAGATTAAAAACTCAAACATTTTATTAAATTAAAAATATGTGTTTCCCTTTAAAAAAATAAAGTTGACCCCCTTACAAGGCATAAGGGATGAACTTAAAAAGTATGACATAGTTAATAATTCAAGAATAATGTGTAACTAAAGATAACCAGAAAAAAAATGTTAAAATTATATGTATTCTGCAAGTAATTGAATGGGTTATGATAAAAAAATCATTCTGTATATACAAAATTTTAATTGTGTAAACGTAATTCTTTTGAATATCTCATGGTAGTCAATCGAAGAATGATTTTTTAAAATATTTTTCAAGGCAAATTTTAATTGTTTATGCTTCCAAAATACACTTCTATTCATGTTTGGTACACATTGAGATGGGAGTGCGTTACTGGGATTACACCCCACTGTCATTATAGTGGTCTCCATTCATCCACAATGAGGAACATAATGTTATTGAAAGTACTTGTCATACGATCATAGATTCAATAGGTAACGATTATATCGCGAGACGAGCCAACTACGGGTTGGTCACCATGTGGGAGGAGAATGCGTCAGGAACGTACCACGTGTTTATGGCAATTAATACTGTCGGCGAACACACCGTTTCAACATTCCAGTCCGAACCGCTAACCTCTTGAGTATTGCCGCACAAATACGTCTGCGTAAAATTATTAATTCTGCTGTGGAGCTGGAATTTTACAACGACTTTGTGACGGCCTTAATTTCTCACAAGCGCAGTTATATACCACTCGAGTAATAGCCCACAAATTTGGAATTGTGTACAACGGACAAACACATGCGGTTAGACTAGCAGACGGCCAAACTTTGCCCACCGCCGGTACCGCTAATTTTATCGTAAACATCGCAGATATGACAATTAATTCTACGGCTGTTATTAAGGAGAATCTATACTGTGATGTACTCCTAGGACATGACTATCTAACAAAACAGGAAGTCGCCTAGGACTACGCTGCATGTACAATTCACCTAAGCGGGACGCGACGTACTACAGCTTATTGGAAGGCGAGTCCCTGGCACATTCTACCTGGCGTAGATCTCTCAACACTAGATATAGCAGGCGTTTCCCAGGACATAGTTCAATGGGTGGCATACGAGAGGAGCACTCGTATGTTGGATTAGTGGCTCCACCCCAACGTTCGAGGGTTACGCCTCAAGCTCGATGTTGGACGTCACGCTGGTGTTCCCGTCGCTGCACCCGCACGTGACCATTTGGTCGGTACTTCCGCACAGGGAAAACCTCAGCAACCACCGGTTCATCGTTTAAGAGTGCGGCCACGGAAGACATCCCCCACGAGACTTGCCCCGCACGTTGTAGGACGATGGGCGAGTAAGCTGGTGTGTCGACCTGCGTACGGATGTCGACGCATTCGAGATGAGCTTACTGCATGCATCACCCAAGAGTTGCCCGACGCGGTAGGGCGCGTGTGAGGTCGGAACACCGCTCCCGGCCAAGACACGATTTCAAACCGGGTATGAGGGTTGGTAAACGTCCTCGCCCCGGATTGGATACGCGTCGTTTTAAAACGATGACTCCTGGAGGGTGAAGTGGAAGAAGGCCAGGTTATTGCATCTGAAAAAGAGTGACAAGCCCGAGGGTCTCCCCTCGTCGTAACCACCATATTACATTTTGAATGACCTGAAGAATAACCACGAGCGGCTACTGGTCACCCGAATCGAGGCACAACTAGCCGACGTCAGCAGACTGGCTAAGGCCCAATTTGGTTTTAGGAGGGGGAAGTCCACGGATGACGCGCCTTCCCTCTTCAGGAACTTGGCCCTCAGGGCCAAAATTCAGCAGGGTTTCGGGGTAGCGGTGAGCCTGGACATCCGATACGCGTTCAACTCCGTACGTTGGTCACACATCCTCGGGGCGCGGGATGCGTTTCGGGTGCCTCCTTACCTCGGACAGATAATCCGGTAGTACTTCAGCGATAAAGATATCTCCTACGAGAGCACCGCGAGCCCGAGAATAAGACCCGTTACAGGTGGCGTCCCGCAAGGGTCAGTTCTCGGGCCTCTGCTGTGGAACATCGCGTACGACGCGGTGTTCCACGTTCCGCTCCCAACGCACGTTGTGACTAATGGTGGCGAAAGGCGCCTCGTCCGAGGAGGCTGGATCTCGTGCGAATTGCGCGCTCAGCGCAGTCACTGCCTGGATCCAGCAGGAGGGAAGTAGACTGAGCCTCGCCTTGGACAAGACCGAAGCGGTCTTATTCACGGGCTGGTACAAATTCACACCTCGACGGCTCACCGTCCTGGGGTGGAGATCCCGCTTAAGGACACTATGACTTATCTGGGCCTAGTATTAAACAAACATCTAAAGTTCCAAAGTCTAAAATCCAGTGTTCTCTACATTATTGTGATGTAAGACGTGTCAATATAAAACTATTTAATGTTTATAACCATGCTACTGTAAAAAAACACTTATTTAATTTTTTTTTTTATTTTAAAATATTATATCCCCATCTTACCAGTAAAAACTGAAGTCCTATTGTTATCTAATAACAAATAAGTCAAAATAATATACTTTTATAAATATCAAGTGGATACAAATCAAATTATTATTTACTTCTTATAGCATCGAACAACATAATTACTAAAAAAAATACAATGTATTATGTATATATATATATATATATATATATATATTTAATATTATATGCTCAACATTTTATCTCATAAAAAAACCTGCATAAAAAGTAATTTATGTATAAAGAATTTTGTACAATGAAAACGTTTTTTCATTCTTAGATTTTGAAGTTTTTGAAAATACTGGCTACATTAAATATAGCTACACCTGTCCAAACGGGTAAGATAATCTTAAGCGAAACGAAAATGAGAAGTTACTGGTCTAACAATTATGTGATTTTTTTAATATTTGTCCATGAAAATTCTAGACTAAATTGATAATTTCTACATCAAAAAACACGATTAATCTATCAGCACAAGATAATTGAAATTCTTTATTCAATTTCAAACATTTTATAAAGTATGTCATAACTTTGCTACTGTAGAAAAAGCATTATCAAATTTTATTTTTAAATCACTGGTCATAATAATATTTTAATCGAGTAAACTAAAGACAATAAACTTTCTTTTGGTAGCTTACTATAAAAATTCTATGAAGTTTTATTGTTTCACTATAAGAAATTGGGCGTCAAATTTTACATTTTAGTAATTACAAATTACATCTTTGCATCGAATTTTTTTTTATGACAGTGATTTTTATTTCAGTTGAATATCTTTTATACTTGTCAGACTATGATGCGACCCTTCTGTGATTGGTTTTCCTTTTTGACTTTAGTTTCAGTATAGTTTTTTGAAATAAAATAATTGTAAAATTATGCATACCCTTTTCAATCCTATAATTTTATTCTCGATTTCACTAGACTAAAATATTTTTTATGTTCTACTTTTATTGTGATATAGATAATATGTGTTTAATATTTGGTAGACTTGTTCAAATCCAAGAATCGGAAACTATCTGACGTCTGCCAAATATTATCCCTATCTCCTTAAATAAGTTTTAATTGCCTGGAATTCATGTATCTTAGTTACTAATGAGAGATTAAATAATAATTTTAAACTATTGTTTTATATCAACGACAAAGTAAAGTTTTATTAATTCATGAATATAATGTTTAAAACGTCTTCAGATATTTTTTCAATCAGTTATTTTAGTTTCAATCCAAAAATTACTAAAGTCCAGTAAGAATTCCTTATTATTTTTATTTTTTAAAAATACCCTGTAACTAAAGAGATTTTAATATATAAAAGTATTGTAGTTTATTAATGTCTCACTGAACAATTTTGATAATCTATATGTCAAAAGAAAGCAAATGTGATTCAGTTAAAAATATCATCTGCAAAGTCGACCAAAAATCGTTCATAGTTTTACGTTTTTATTATAATACTGTTGAAGCAAATATAATCATTATTTTGCATATACTGGGACATTTCAATATTAATCTACCGATAAATCATAACTGTTATTTAGGTTATATAGCCAACTATAAACCGCCATCATTATTACAGGCATTATATCATTAAAGAGCTATCTATATTATTATGTTTATATCTATATTATATATCTATATTATAAGGTTGATTGGATAGTGTGGGGAGCTGCACCATTGCATCTTTTACTTGGGTTCTCATTAGATCTTCATAAATAGTAAACCTAAAGTATGCTAATTTTCTCAGGTATATTCAAAATTCATTATAATTTGTGATTTGATACTGGAAATAAAAAAAAGGAATGAATTTTTCCAAAAAATTTGTTATTATTGGCTTTTAAATCAATTATCTAAAAAAATATAATTCGCAACAAAACTATTCTTTTTTTAATCATAAATATATTCAAAAAACTAATTAAAAAAAATTAAGGAATTATAAAGAAAGTATAATACTCTTTAAAGTTCTTTAGTTAAATACTTACTGAGAACTCGATAAATTCCATCTAATTAAGTATGAAAAAACCACTGAATTAGCTATGTTCAAACCTATTCTTAATACTAAAATAGATTGAAAAAAATGCGATGGATAATAAAAACGTAAAACAATTCTTTTAAAAAATAAATTTGTTATTCTCAAACGACAAATTTATAAATTTATGCAAGAATAATCAACCTTGAACATAATATCATATTAAGATATAAATAAGAAATTCTATGTTTATTAATAACATTTTCCTATCTTACCAATATTATCCGAAGTCAAATTGATATCTAAATAATAAAATATTCATATTATCCAGTGAATATAAACTATTATTTTAATCATTTACTTCTTATAGCCTCCATCAAGTCATTAGCTAAAACAATTACATTTTATATATTTTTTTTCTTTTACAAATTTATGCATATAAAATTTTAAACGAATAAACTTAATTTTTTTTAATGTCTAATCGCAGAGAATCGGAAACTGATAAGGTTTAATCACAATCATGTGTTTTTTTTTTAATATTTATCCATGCAAATTTTGATACTTTGTTCAAAAAAAAATACTCATTTTTTGTACCAATTCAAATCGGATTACATTAGTTTTTTCATAATAAATTTAGGAATGTTTAATTTTATGGGCAAGTCAGCGGGTCAGTTCTGTGGGAACATTAAGTGGTATTTGAGTTAGCAGGTCAGGACAATTAATAATATTTTTAATGGTTTTTAAAATAAATTTAATATCATTATTGAATAATATAAAAATAGATAAACATTGAATTAGCGATGTTCTAATCTAGGTATGTGAACTATATTCTGTTATACAATTGACAAATATATTTAAGTCAAAAATTTTTAAATAGTCAGAGAATGAAATCAAAAGTATCCGTAAAAATTGTTATAACCTTAGTAATATCATCATCATAAATGAATAAATTTTAAATGTTATGTAATAATGTGTGTTTTTTATATTCAATTACACATTTTCCCCATAAAAATTGAAAAAAAGTATTATATAGTAGTAGGGTAATTTGGAGAGAGCTGGATCCCCCCCGCCTCACCCACTCACCTTCCTTGCGGTGGAGGAAGTGTACGGGGGGGGATTAAATCTAACGTAAACTAACCTAATGTAATGGTGGGGGAGAACGATGAAACCCAACGTAAACTAACATAATGCAATGGGAGGACGAAACCTTATGTAAACTAACCTAATGCGGGGGGAGGGAGAGGATGAAACCCAACGTTTTCTAAGAATTTTATCATCGACTACCAGACGCTTAGGTAAGCATATATCTGACATCATAGGTATCATAATATTATATCGCTAATAAGCGTCTGTAATTTTATGGGACGCTGTATTATTAAATGTACAAATCATTTCTAAGAATTTTACCATCAACTACCAGACGCTTAGGTAAGCATATTTTTTTAATATTGAAGATGTCGTCATAAGTAATAATAATTATCGTATGAATTTTATGAGAACAAAGGTATCGTTTGTCGTTATGGCATTATAATTTCTAAGAATTTTATCATCGACTACCAGACGCTTAGGTAAGCATATTTCCGACATCAAAGGTATCATAATATTATATCGCTCATAAGCGTCTGTAATTTGATATGAGAACAATTGTGGCGCTGTCTGTGTATTATTAAATGTATAGCTATAATTTCTAAGAATTTTATCATCGACTACCAGAAGCTTAGGTAAGCGTATTTCAAACATCAAAGGTANTCTGGGGAGATATGTAGTTGGCCATGGGGATATTGAGGGCGTTATCTCGTTGAGTTTAGTATGCATTGTTTGCCACATGTGTTGCCATTGATTTGTTAGAGTGTTGTTTATTATTTTTTTACTGTCACTCAGGGTATGGATATTAATTTGCTGTGCATCGAACGAGGTAATGGCTTGTTTAGCGTATGTGTCTGCTAGTTCGTTTCCATGAATTCCGACGTGGCTTGGGATCCAGATCATAGTTATGGACTGCGAGTTAATTTCTAGTGACGATACTTGATTTTGGATCTTTCTGATAATGTCGTTAGGTTGATGATAGTTTTGAATGTTGGTTAGTGTGCTTAGGGAGTCACTGAGTATGATGGATTTAGTTATTTTCTTTTGCTTGATGATATCGAGAGAGTGAGAGATTGCGATAGCTTCAGCGGTAAAAGTTGAGCATGAGTCGGGGATTTTAATCATTATTTTATTTTCGTTGTATATCACCGAAGCTCCTACTCCTTCTTCCGTTTTGGACCCGTCAGTGAAGAACATTGTGTGCTCTTTGTAGTCTTCAAGTAATGATTGTAGTTCACTTTTGTATATTTTGGGTATAGTTTTGCTTTTGGGTAAAACTGACAGTGAGAGGTTTACATTTATATTTAAAATCCATGGTGGGATTGTGAGATTTTCGTGCTTAACGACCCCGGGTAAGCCGATTGATATATTTTGGAGTTCATTTTTATTGTTTCGGTGTATCTTGAGGTTATTTTGTATTCGCCTTATATAGAAGAGTAATGAATTTTTTTTTCTTATTAAATGTATTGGAGGGGTATTGGTGATGTTGTATAGACTGTAGATGGGGCTGGATCTGAATGCTCCAGAGACTAGTCTTAATCCGGAATTGTGTATTGTTTCAATGGTTTTGAGCTGAGATGGTTTGGCATTTATGAAGAGAAAGGAACCATATTCGAGCTTAGATAGTAAGAGGGATTTATATATTTGTTTGAGAGATATTGAATTAGCTCCCCATGAGGTATGTGCAAGTGCTTTGAGGGTGTTAATTCTTGTAGAGGACGCTTTACGTAATTCTTTTAGGTGTGTGTTCCAGGTATTTTTACAGTCGAATTTGACGCCTAAAATCTTTATGGTCTTACAGGTTGCGATTTGTAGATTGTTGATCATTAGTTGTAGTTTCTGATATTTTTTGAAGCGGGTAAAGGTGATACTCTGAGATTTTGTAGCAGAGAAGCGGAAACCAGAAGAAGCCGACCATTTTTCTAGTGAATATAGTGCGTCTTGTATTATTGGTTGTACACTGTTTGTATTTCTCCCTCGGCACCATATGGTTAGATCATCAGCAAAGAGAGTGTAGTTTACAGGAAATTTGATGGATTCGCATACGTCGTTGATGGCTAAGAGGAAGAGGGTGACAGAAATGGTGGAGCCTTGGGGGACGCCATTTTCTTGGTTAAAGGTTGATGAGAGGTGACCGGCGGTTTTGACTTGGAAAGTTCTGGCTGACAAGAAGTGGATAATGAAATTAAGCATGTTCCCATGACAGAGTATTTTGTGTAATTTTTCTATTATTCGTGGGCGCCATGTGGTGTCATATGCTTTTGCTATGTCAAGAGCTACTAGACCTAGTACTTGTTTGGCTTCGAGTGTTTTTGAGATGTCCTCGTGTATGTCGTGTAAACTATTATATGTGCTTCTATGTTTGCGAAAACCATTTTGATGAGGAGAAAAGTGATTTGTTTTTTCGAGAAACCATCTAAGTCGTATATCTATAATCTTTTCTAAAATTTTACACATTGTGTTTAATAACGATATAGGTCTGTAACCTTCAGTCGAGAATTTGTCCTTTCCAGGTTTTAAGATAGGTATGACAATAGCGTGTTTCCATTCTTTGGGGATTTGACCGTTTTCCCATATTTTGTTGTATAGGTTAAGTAAGAATTGTGTTGCTGAAGTTGGTAGATTGTGTATAAAGCTGTATGGAATTTCGTCGGGTCCGGGAGAGAGGCTTGAACATTTAGATAGTGCCAAGTTGAATTCAGTTTCGCTAATTGGTGTGTTGAGGTATTGTTGGTCTTGATGTGTTGGGTCGATGTTTGATTGGAGATGTTGTTGTCTATTTGAGATGTTTTTATTTATGAATGAGTCGTCAAAATTATTGTCCGAACTGTTTAGGTAGAAGTGGTTTCCTATTAGGTTGGCTACTTCGATAGGGTTTGTGTGTAGGTTGTTGTCTTTTACGATATGGAGTTGTTTTTCTCTGATGTATCCTCGTAGAGATCTTACTTTGCTCCAAACCGTGCTGGGGTCACTTTTGGGTCCTATGGTTGAAGTAAATTCTTTCCAGGACTTTTTTTTGCTGTTTTTTACTAAGAATTTGGTTTTTGCTCGGAGTTGTTTGAGTTTTATGTGGTCTTCAATCTTGCCGGATTTTTGGAATATTTTTAGCGCGTCGTTTTTGTTTTTGATTGATAATTTGATTTCAGAATTCCACCAGGGGACTTTGTTATTGATGGGTGAAAAGTTGGTTTTTCCTATTGAAACGTTGGCCGCGTTTATAATGGAGCGTGTTATGTGTTTCACATCGGATACGATTGGACCGGTTATGGGAGGAGGATTGGTGGTTATATATAAATCTGTCAATTGTGTGAAAAGTTCCCAGTTGGCATTTTTTAATTTCCATCTATGATGTGATGTTTTGGGTAGCATTTTGCTTGATAGTAATTCTATTTTAATAGGTATGTGATCGCTGTCGTATATTTCGGGTAGAGTTGACCATATGGTTCGTTGGGCTAATGACGCGCTGCATAATGAAAGGTCTATCGTTGAAAAGGTTCCGTTGGCTGGGTTTAGTCGTGTGGGTTCGCCATTGTTTAATAGGATGATGTTGTCGATT